AAGCTTCGGCTTTTGTAGATGCTGCTGCTTCCTTCACCGCAAATGACAGTAGGAGCAGAGATACACGCAGCCGGTGATCAGCTGATCCATCCATCCACCCGCTTCTTCCTTTTCGGGTAGCACTTATGCCCATGTCCAGCCATCACTGTGCGAGAGGTGGGGGACACCCTGGACAGGTCACAAGTCCATTTCAACCGGCAGGTCAACGGACACACGTGACCGGTGACAGGTTGTCCATCTGAGATTAACACGACTGTTTTTTACCTTTTTAAACCAGCCAGTCCTCAACAAGTAGATTAAACAATTTTATATTGTGCATTCTTACTAAGTTTTCATTGTGCTGTATGATTCGTAAAACTGCATCATAGAAGCCTGAACCCACGTGCGCAGTAATTGCGCAATGTGCCAGCGATCTCTTCACAGTCTGATTAACTGCTGCTCTCTTCTTTCTTTCTTCATCCTCTCAACATATAAACTTACTGCCTCCTCCTCTACAAGTAGATTAACACGGTTTTATATTGTGTATTCTTGTTTACTTTTATTTGTGCTATATGATTCGTAAAGCCACATCAAAGCCTGAGACCGACCCGGCCCACACATTAAGCACATTATTATGGCCCGGTCCGAATCCGAGTCGGGCTGGAACGGGCTCCGGATTCGGTTTAGAAATAACAGCTCTAAAAGGGTGTCAGCAAAGATCAAAGGTCAAAGGAAAAGTTTACAAGAAAGTTGTGAGAACAGCTATGTTGTATGGTCTGGAGATGGATACATTGACAAAAAGGCAGGAGAAAGAACTGGAAGATGCAGAAATGAAGATGTTGAGGTTCGGATTAGGAGTGACAAGGATGGATAAGATTAGGAATGAGATCATCAGAGGTACAGCACAGGTGGAACAACTGGGAGATAAAGTTGAGAGACCAGACTGAGATGGTTTGGACATGTCCAGAGGAGGGACCGTGGGTATAATGGTAGAAGATGTTAGAAATGCAGCTGCCAGGGTAAAGACGAAGAGGAGATATAGGGATGCAGTTAGAGAGGACATGTTGGAGTGAGAACAGAGGATGCAGAGGACAGAGTGAGATGGAGGATGACTCGCTGTGGAGACCCCCGAAGAGGGAAAAGCTGAAAGAAGAAGATACTCCCTCAAAGCAGAGGGTGTATTCCAGTTTAGTATTTTTACGCTTTATGAGTGCATATTGTGTCGCTGATAGATGTTTCTTTTTTCTTATTCATGCATGCAGCTTAAGGTGGCTGAAAGCACAAAGTGTATCATTGTCATACTAGACATCTCTTATTAACTTAATGTTGTACGAGTGCACCCAGCAGTTTTAAGTGCCCCCCTCTGTCATGCAACGCTAAATAGATCAGCGTCCTTTGAGAACACACTCTGATGGGCGCAAACGCAATTATGGGAACTTGCACAATCCACATAAACAAGCTCACAGTTACTGAAATTCACATTTATAAGCCTTGTTTGATGCGAACAGTCTGGCACACGTCCATTAGAAAGAGATAAACGCTGATGATGGGTCCCTGCACAGACCAAAGCTAGAAATCAATTCACCGTACGGGCAGGAAGCGATGTATTTTTGCCCACTTGGCATAAAAAAAATTCTGCTGACCAAACGTTCCAATGGCATCGTCATAAACAGAAATGCAGTCAGGGGAAAGCAATAATGTGGGGGAGGAGAGCAGGCGGCCATCTAGGCACCCAAGATTCACCAGTGGGCACTTTTGTCGGGGCTTGAACCTGTGCAGCACGGCTTGTTGCACGGGGTTAAGGTGAACCACTTTGTCCTTCAATACTCTCCGTTCTCCCTCTACCACGACACTGCCTTTTGTTTCCATGACGATGCTCTGCTGACAGTCTGCACTGGGTGGAAGTGTGTAATAGTAGGAGTTGGGGGATTTCACCCCGGCTTTTGTTAAAAATCATTGAAGAAAATCCTGTTTGAGCCCAAAACATTTTCTTTTCTGCAAAATGAGGTGCTCAGCTGTATCTTCCAAATGCGTGCTGTTGTAGTTAGTCACACTTGTATGCTCCTGTCACGTGAAATTTCACCGTTGGCACACACAGAAGAAGCCAAATAAAGCTGCACTCCGTAGGGCTGTGACACGCAGGCTGCTGATGTGCACGGCTGATACGCGTTCGGTACTTATCCACTGTACAGCAGAGAGCAGCTCGCCACAACAACTGTTGCTTGGAGACAGTCAGTCAGTCTCCACAGTCATCGTGTACTGTCGCCAAGGTGACAGATGGATCTGCCTGTTGGAGGCCATAACGCTGAGGCAAGGTCTACCACTGTGTGCACATGCACACGCGTGCACACACACCGAGGACAGAGAGCATAATCTGCTTAGTAATGTCTTCCATTTAGTGAGTGGTGTGCTGCCAGGTTGGTGCAACAGTTCCTCTTGTGCATTTTATTCAGCAGAAGGTGTGTTGCTGCTTATTAGACAGTGCAATAAGTCAAATGAGATCTTTAAGCAGTGCATTTCTCTAGATTCTGTTTGTGGATACAATGTTGCTGACATTGCCGGTACTTTTTTTTTAACATATTTTTGTTTGCTTCTCCTTTAAATATTAAAAAAAAAGTCTTGATTTTGCCACAGTTAATAGAACAGTCACAAAATTATTTAACTCATTAGTTTGGCTTTGCTACATGGTATTCTGTTGATATATCTTAAATCATAAAGACAGACCTTAATATCCAGGTTTTAAGTTTAGTGTTAAGGAGGATAATTGTACAGCCCCACAGTGCTCCTGGTCAGTTTTTTATTTATGCATTTTTTACACCTAAAGGGTTCGGCTGAGCGCTCCTGCTCAGGTTTTCGAAGAGCTGGCCAGTTCGCCCACATGTCTAAAACCACTCGTTCCTTCCTCTTGTATGTAATTGAGTATGGAGGTTGGTCTAAACAGCCACAATACCTTTGATGTGAGAGCGCTTCAAACACTCTGCAGCTTCGCCTACAGCCACACAAAATCCAGGAGTCAGGCTTCTGCCTACTAATGTAACAATGACTTTTGTACCTTTTGTAAAATCAATCATTTACTTTACAGAATGATTTGTCTTTAAAGCTTTTTACACCTTGCAGTTAAAAAAAAACTAGAGTACTATCTTCTGTGACTGATTTTTAGAGTCAGATCTGCCGCAAATCAAACATTTGTTTTGTGTCATAAATACGCAAATTCATCCATCTCCTAATCAGCTTATTTACTTCCTTGGGTGTGTCTGTTTTCTGTATTAGTAGGTGTGATTGCGAAGCTAGGAGACTGTTTTCTAAAAAGCAGCAGCAGATTCGCTGCAGTTCGTAGCTGAAGGCTAATCAAACACTACCATGACATCTTGACTGACAGCATCATTTGCCCAGAGAGAGTACTTTTGGAGTGACAGCATGATCATGCATCTTGTTTAAGGCATTGCTGGCGCTCCCAAATGAATCATTTTGGATTGGTGTGGGGGAAGGCGGGTGAAAAAGACAAAGACAGATTGGAGAAAGGGAGCCGCTGGATAGGCAGGAAAGAGAAGAAGGTTGTAGACGTAACACAGTTGGCGCTGTCGGTTGTGAATGAAGCCAGATGTCTGAAAGATAGCACAGACAAGAGCAGAAGTGTGAAGATCTTATTGGATTGGCACAATGATGGCCCATTTTCCTCAAAGGAAAGACTTTGTCTCGTGCAGTTTTATGTGCGATGGACACATCTGCTGTTTGTAAGAGGTGTCCGCTTATTGTTGAATTTTAAATAGGAGATGAATACAAGCACAACTCCTGTTTTTTCCTTCTTCTTTGTCTCTTAGATTCATTCTCCCCTTCTCATTTCCATAAGTTTATACAAGCGTTACTTTCATGCAGAGTGGAGGTAGAGAGGGAGAGGTCGGTCGTGGGCTTGTGGAGCGTCTTTGCCCATGTGGATTTGCGCCTGTGCTGTAGTTTCAGTCATCTGTCAGTCTTATTTTCTGCGTGCTTGTCTGTGATAATGATATTTCTGGGATGATTTATTTATTTTTTCTGTTCACTGCTCACTCGTGCAGAAAGACGTCTATCATACCTCAAGCGCACTTTGATTTGTGTCGGGACTGCTGCATGAAACCATCTGATGCTTGCCACTCTGCGTGTGTGTGTGTGTGCAGCTGAATAGATGTTTACCAGCATGTGAGGGTGGGAGGGAGAGTGAGATGGAGTGTAGAGAGAGAGAGAGGGAGAGGGAGGGAGGCGGATGATGCTGAGGGAAGAAACGAGAGGGAGAACAGTGAGCAGAGAGGTGAGAGAGAGGGAGAACGTGGGAAAAAAAAAAGGCAGCAGGAAAGGGAGAGACCTGGAGGACGCGCCAACTGCCTATAGATGCTGGAGCCTTCGACAGCGGAGCGCAGCGCTCAGCGGACACAGGAAGATGGTCTCAGTAAGAGGGGAACTGACGGTTGCCTATAATTTAATGTTCAGTATCTTGGACTCCTTCTCCATGGGTAATGCCTACGGCCAGGAACTCCAGAACAAAGCTCGCTTCTTTTCTCCTCTTTACTCCACTCTCTCCATTCTCTGGTTTAATTGCTGTCCAGTGGTCTTTCCTTCCTCCTTAGCTCACACTTTCTCCCCTCCAACACACACTGGCTCTTGTGTGTGTGTGTGTTGATGGGTAGCCGAGGTTTAGCGAGCTCTGGGTAAGCCCTTGGGGCCAGCCCCACTCTTTCGCTGCGCCAGTCAAGCCAAATGCTGGCCGCGGCGGTGATGCAGATAGATCGCGCTGCCTGCACCCCCCCCCCCCCCTTCCCCTCCTCCTCCTCCTCAAACGCCAGCCGCGGATGGGCAAGCAGGGAAAGAGAGAAGCGGAGGGGCTTTGAGGGCTAGATCAGCACTGTTTGGACGTTGTTTGGGAGTCTACATTAGGAATACTTGTCCCTCACCTTAATTTTTTGCTCTGACCTTTTGTCTGAACATGGACTACAAACTCTGATGGTAACCCTCTTTGTCTTTTTCCTCTTCTCTGTCTGGCTTCACAGGAGTGGCACCTGCAAAGAAGAGCCCCAAACTGGTAAGATTTTGGTTTTCTTTTTAATTTCCCCATCCTGTCCAACCATTCACTACTCATAAATCTACATATGTGCATCTGTGTGGAGGAAGACTGCGCTCACTTCCCCTGCCTCTCGTCTCCGTCCTCCTGATCCCAGCCCACCCCCACCTCCCCATGTGGCATAACTTGTGCTGATGTTGTTGACCTGTTTGTAGACAAGGGGGGTGCTGCGCTGTGCCGGGGTGGATCCCTGTAGCTTTACACGAGTCCTCCGCCCACCCCGCTTTCTGGCGGGGGATGGGACGAGGGGCTTTGATGCGCCGCGTGAGTTGGGTTGCTAACATGCTGATGATCGCATCATGCTGGGTGCTAAGTTTGCGGTGTGCGAGCTGAATGTGTGATCACAGGAGATAGACGGCCTCATTCTGCAGCGTCTGTACTTAGGGGCTCCTTCCATCGTGTCTGACTCAACGTGCATTTGTTACATTTTGTTTTGCAGGACAATTATGCCATGGCTCCTCCGTACAGAGATTACACTAGGATGGTATGTGATGTTATTTGGAGGGTGTAAAAGTTTTTGGGAATGAGGTCGTATGGTGTTGGGGCTGGCTATATAATGGTGGTGGTGTGTTCTAGAATGCAATAGACAGTATGGATAAACTGACTGATGGTAGGATAAATGCATGATCTTAATGTGTAGCTGCATGAGGTTAATCATGTGAAATACAAATCTGGAAGACTACTAATACTGTGAAGGCAGTTCACTTGTTTAAGGCAAGTATTTGCTTTCATGGTCCTAACTCCTCTTTTCTTTCCTTTTCTGTATTCTGTCTTCTAAGAACTTATTAGATCTGGAGGAAAACAACATCTTAGACCCGTTTCTGAACACTATAGGAGAACACAGTGTCTGTAGAAGGTCACATTTTAATAGATCCATCAGGAGCCAATGATTTGTTTTAGTTTGAAAGGGGAGCAGTATTTAGAACTTGTGCATTGAGAGAAAAACAAAACAAAACTAGAAAAATGGCTAATGGAGGTGCCATTTTATTTGATGGAACAAAAGTAAATAATAATTAATTTTGTGTTCAAGGGGAAAGGTTGGTATTGAAATCGATAACTCCAAAACAAGCGCTGCACGTTGGATTAATGAAATGCTTCCACAGTTATATTTCTTTAAGAGCACTACTAAAGGTGTAGAGGTGACACTCAAAACACAACGTGCAGGTCAAAGCTCACAGTATTTCCAAGAGCATCAAGCTTCTTACGTCTTAACGAGCTTGATGAATATAAACATGAATTGCAGAGGTGTAGGAGGCAGATCCAGTGAGTAATGAGTGAATTTATTGAAGACAGTTGCACTTTGAAGGCCAAACACTTTGATACTCGAGCCGACGAGCCACTTCCTGGTATATTTTTGTTCACTGAATCCGAAGTAATATGTGGTCACATGATACGAAGAGTCTTAGCTGCTGTCATTTTTCTCCCACTCTCTTAAAATATCTGCCTCTACTCCTCACGCTCTGCCTGTAACTCACTTTGTGACTCCTTTTGCCACAGCAGCGCAAATTCTGCCGACTAACAAAGATTTAACTGCTAAAAAGGGTGTTTTGACAAGAATGATGAGCGGGATTTTAACTTGAACTTGAAGTGTACTTGCACTTGAGCTCAGAACTATGTGCTCCTTAAACACCTCAAACCCTTCAGCGAGTGTTTAAGTGTCCATGTAATTGAGGGTCTGGGTGCAATTTATGAGGACCTGCACCAGTAAAATCCTCCCTTTGTTTCAAACCCTACAAGTGCTGTATTCACTGAGACTTTCTTATATGCAGCAGACAATGCAGCTTTTTATTTTATTAAAACACTCCCCTGTGCTAAACAAAAGGAACAGGCAAGGCTCCCTTTGTAAATTGAACCACTGTGTTTTTATTTCATAGTCGAATGACTTAATCATGAGAATCCATGAGTTTTTTTTCCCTTATCTGTCTTTGTAAGCTAAAAGGATTTCTATGAATAAAACAGCTTGATTATTCTTTGCCGTGATTAAGGTAGCAAGACAGAGTATGCTTTCTTTTACCCCAAAGAGAATGTGGTGTTACTCTTTTATTGAACTGTAACCAAAAGAAACCCTCTTTTGTATTCATATCTTCATTCTCCTGGTTTCTCCTCTCACCAGCCACAATCCCCGATCTTTCTCTCTGATGTGCTGCTGAGGATGCAATAACCTTTAAATGTTTTTTATCTACCTGTCTGTCAACTCCGAGTTAATCTTCCCCGTTCCTTCAAAGCCTGTTTTCAAGAGTCAAATGATGTTGATCTACTTCTCCAACAGCAATTGTCAAGGAAGGACAGTCAGAACAGTTCCCAGCACAGCGTTTCCAGCCACCGGAGCGCTCACACCGAGTCGCCCAGTCACTCGTCCCTGGCACCCCCGCTCAGTGAAACCGGTGCTCCCCCTCCCCCCTCACAGCCCTTACCTGGCCTCCCATCCCAGGACTCTCAAGGAGACGGGACCATCCAGAGAAAACCGGACCCCTTTAAGATTTGGGCCCAGTCTAGGAGCATGTATGAAAGTAGGCGTAAGTATTTGCATTTTTGGTGGCGGTTGGATGAGGGCTGCATGGGGAGCTGGCTGGAGACCATTGGTGTAACATTGTTGAATGGTTCTTAAGAAGCAAGTTTTAGGAAACTAGTCCTGAATGTTAACAAATGTTGTTTTTTCTTTTAAAAAAAAGACCAGTTTATTTTTAATCACATGATGGAAAAAAAACATTCATTTCTATGATTGGGGATGGAAACCAGCGACTAAACTTTAAAGCAAGCCTTTAAATTTTTTGAAATGGGATTCTATGTAAATTTTTTGAACAGTTAATATACTACCTGTTGTAGATAACTTTTATAACGGCATCAGTTTGGAAAATTAGATGATTTTTCTCAATAATGATGAACAGCTAATCCAAGCAAGGCCAGTCCCAACTACAGCTCTTATCTCAAACATTTTATAAGCATGTTACATTATCATCCGTTTCACTTTGCACAATTATTTACAAAAAAAAATTCTTACAGTGTACAAATAGTGGCGGCGGCAGCTAGCCTTAGCACTTCTTAGCAGCAATTCACTTTGATTTCGGTCTGGTTTGGATTAGCTGTTAGTCTGCCTGTCTGATCAGAAATAAATGTTTCCATTGTTCAATGAGATTCAAACATCAGGTAATATATTAATTTGATTTAGTCTTTTCAAAGAATTACACCTCAAAACATCCGAACTACAGCAGAGCACGGTGTATCTTTGCTAACAAAGAAGGCCTGTGGGGGGAAGTTAGCTTGACTTTATACAAAGTGTTTTTCAGAGTCAGAGAGTCAGAGTTTCTTTATTGTCATTCGCACCTCATGTGGTACATGTGGTGGAGCGAAATTATGTACACAGGGTCCCAGTTACATCCAACAATAAAATGTACAAGAAAAACAGCAACAACATCTAAGATATGAACTAAGAAAAACATCAACTAAATATACACAATATACAATATATATTTTCATTGGTTTTGTTTCGTTTACTATCAATTAAGAGAAAAAAAAAACAATAAAAAGTGCATACGATATTTAAAACTAAAGGTAAGACATTGCTCTGTTAAATAATTTTGTTTTGTTTTGAAAGATCAAGGTAAATATTCCCCCCTGCTGCCAGTTTTTGTGCTAAGCTAAGCTTTATTGTTAGCTTTAAATGTCCAATACATGTTTTAATCTCACAAAATTCACAAAAGTGTAAATGCATTAAATATGTTTTTCTAATATATTCTTGTATTTTAAATGTTGGATGTAAAAAGCAGAAGATATATAGTTTAAAACCTTTCTAAATTAGCAGCGTTGTTGCTGCAAAATTCACTGTATTTTAGTCTGTGGTACATGTTGTTTATTAGTTTATTATCCCCATTTAACTCAGCTTGTACAAACACAAATACTACTGTCAGTTACATATTACTGATAGTTTTGGTTACTGCACAGTCCAATGTGCTTGAAGACACATTTGAAGCAGACGTTCCCCCCCCCCCCCGTCCTTTTGGTCCTGTTCTTTAAAGGCTAATCATGCCACTTTTGTCCAATTGGACACTGGCACTACAGATACACTATTGCTTAGACTTCCCTTAAGAGGCATGTAGTGCGTAATTAGCAGCAATAGTGGAGTGGATGTCAGTGGATTGCACACCCTCTTTCTTCTGTTCTCCCTGCGAGTGGATAGCTCCAATTAATAAGAATAAGCCTCAGATCTTCTGTCAAGTTTAGAAATAAAAGGGAGAAGGGGGGGGGGGGGTCTGAGTGCTGTTATGTGAACATCTTATCAGTTGCCCAAGCACCTCTTGTCAAGGGTTTTCATTATTTAGAAGCTTGTGGAAAAAGACTAGATCATTTGTCTTAAAATGGAAAAGCCAATAAACAATAGGTGAAAAGTAAAAATAAAAAAACAACACAAGATTCAAGATAAGGAAGGGTGGATCTCAACAGGAGTTTTCCAAATTTCCCTTGCACTTCAGTACAAAAGGAAAGGTTGTACGTATGAGAAACACTAGAAGCACGTGGGTACGGGTCAGGTGACCTATGCCAATAGAGGTAAATCCTCGTCGTCGCACTGCTGCGAGCTCACGTTGTAAAATCTGTCGTGATGCGCTCGGCGGGTCTCTGGCCTTCACTAAAGCAATGTAATTTCTCTGCATTCACATCTGATGTGATTTCGTGTTCTGCTGAAGTCAAGGTCTTTCTGCAGACTCTATTGAATGACTGCCATCTGCAGAAATAACCCGACTTGTTCAGGATGAAGCCGTTCTAATAAAAAGAAAAAGCTAACAGACTTGTTCGTGTGTTTAGACTTTATATTGATTATCACTGTGTGTACCATGTCCCCAATTTAATTTCCTTCATGTTTCAAACATCCAGACTAATTTAACTTGACGTCTTTTTTTTGTGTGTGTGTAAATGGCCACACATGTTTAATTACCTCACTATAGGGATCACTTATACATGTAACAACGGGTCAAGCAGGGTGTGCTGCTGACTCTCCCGAGTGCAGGAACAGATTGCAACAGTTAGCCTTTCCCTCACACTTTCCCCGTTTGTCCTCGGAAACAGTGAGCTGGATTAAAAGAAATGGCTCCACTCCGAGTGGATTTTAACTGTTGACTGAAGGAACAGATTGGGAATAGGCTTCTTATGTTGTCTGCCACGCTGTTTCTTCTTTGTGGCTTTTCTTTGGCAGCAGCATGGTCTGTGTTGGAGCGAGCAAAAATCTCTCCGGGAGTTTGTTCAAAGACGCACGTTTGCAAGTATAACACTGCTGCAAACTTACCAATGCATTCATATGTGCACAGCGGCTTTATCTTTTTATTTACAAAAGTAGCTGATTACGATTTCAAGTCCGCTTAGGGATGTCAAACTCATTTACAAAAGAGGACCAAAATTAAAAACTCTGTCCAAGCCAAGAACCAATTTCAGTTCATGCATTAGCTAAAGTCAGACACTTGGCATCTTATCTGGGTTGCAGGTTCATCGATAAGAGTTTGATCGACCTCATTCAATATTCTATATTGCTCTTTTCACATCAGAATTAAAGATTTCTGAAAAATCTAACCTTTTATCTGGTTTCAAATTTAGCCCGCTGTCATGAGAAGTTTGCACTAAATGAAACGTTTATTATAAAGTAAGTATAGCAAGAAAGCATAAAAGTGATAAGCAATACTTTTCGTTTAAAATATCACCTTGGGGAGCAGATAAGATGTTAGTAATGGCCATATTTGACCCACGGGCTTTGAGTTTGACATATGTAATCCATGAGCTGTCAACCACTGCAGTGGATTGCCTCTTCCATACATCACCTTTGTTTTCTACCAAACACAGATGCTCAGTTCTGTGTTTTGTGAGTACAAATGGACTGAACTTTCCACATTAGGCTTGATAATATATAGCCTGCCTCGGCCTCATGTATTATAGCCGCAGACAAAGGGAAGGTTCGCCCCAGTATACACCGTAAAGGAAACGGATGCTTTGCATGCCACGCATCACTTTAGGTAAAGAGAATCGTGCAGCCTCTTTAAAACTCCTCCACCAAGCAGAAATGTCACAACAAAGGCTTTAAAAAGATAAAAGGAAAAGTTTACTATTTTCAGACATCAGAAGAAAGCTTTAGCTAGTTTTTTTCTAATTTTGGCACAAAGGAGGGACTCTGTCTACATATGAAAGCACGCATGCATGATTTTTCTTAAGTTTTTATTTGACTTGGTAATTTGGATCCTCGCCCGAAATAGATTATCTGCCATCTTTGATGAATCGTTGTTTGTTATTTCTTTTTACCGCCTTGGTGTCAAAGCGTGAACAGTTAATAGGAGAGTTATTTACAGTTTGACTTTAACTATGCTCAAATTGACCTAAAACAGTACATGTGTCTATAATGTGCAGGACATTTGAGAGGATTAAGCCAAATGTCCACCACTAGGCTACTGCTGAACTGTTCTTCTGCTAGTGCAAAGACGAGGCATTTTCTTTTTGATGAGTTGCATTCTTCTGAAATCTTAATGCTTGTTTGTTGATTTCACAGTTCCAGACTTCCAGGAAAAGGACATTTTCCTGTGGAGGAAGGATACAGGGTTTGGCTTTAGGATCCTTGGAGGCAATGAGCCGGGGGAACCTGTGAGTCTCCTAAAGTTTCTTCATCTCCTGCAGCTGAAACCTTTCCAATGTGCTTTAAAAGTGACCTAGATTTTTTACTCTGCCTCTTAGTCTTCCAACTGCAATGATTCAGTACTTTAATAAGAAAAGGAGCTGTTTTCCAGAGACCAGTAGAAAATTCTGTACATTTTTTTCCCCAATCTTAACTGGTCTTGGGTTTCTGTACAGCTGTGGATAAAAATAACTAGTTGAAATATTAGCGTGAAGTTTACATTATTGCTCTAGAATAACATGCTGCATGCTTGTTCCAGAAACCTGAGCTGTTTTTGTAGAAACGTTAAATTCTTCATCTACACTAAACACAAATTTATTGGGATCCATGTGCCAAAGTATATTTGAACAACAAAAAAAGTTAAATCACGTCATCTGGACCAGTTTCTGTAAGTGAGAAATGTTTCATCCCCCATCCAGAGGACTTCCTCAGTCTACGGCCTGTCAACCAGATCTGTCCCATAGGTAGCCTTCACTGCTGTGTTTCAAGCCAACCTCCTGTTGGAATCTCAGAAGTAGACTTTTAACACGTGCAAAACAATCAATCACCATGTACAACAATCAAGTGTTTTCGATCAGATGGCCAACTTGTTACTCACAGAAACAGCCTGAGGACAACCAAGGCCAAAGTGGTTCAGGAAAAAAGTTGTATTGCTTGGTGGGGAAACCGTTTACTGGAATACTCTATATAAAAAAAGAAACTGTCCAGATGACCTGACAGAGAATTATTGGATTTGGTACCTGGATGATTGAGCATGAACTTTGTTGACATGATTTAACATGTTTTGTTGTCGTCTACCTGGATGACTGAGCTTACAAACCTTTTTTGTTTAAAATATAATTTATTTGCTTTACGTGTTTTAGATCTACATTGGCCACATAGTAAAGTATGGTGCTGCCGACGAGGACGGGCGTCTGCGGTCCGGTGATGAACTCATATGTGTGGACGGCACAGCAGTGGTGGGCAAGTCACATCAGCTGGTGGTGCAACTGATGCAGCAGGCGGCCAAACAGGGCCACGTTAATCTCACCGTGCAACGCAAATCCGGCTTTGCAGGTAAGAACATCATTGGTCAAAAGGAGGGAGCAGATCAATCAGTGCAACACTGAAACAAGCTTCAGGGATCTTTATCGTCATTTGCATCACATGAGGTGGAACAAAATTGTGTACTCGAGGTCCCAGTTACACCCAGCAATAGCAAAAATATAAAGTATAGAAAGAAACGCTAAATAAGGATATAAGATATAAACTAAGACATACATTAAACAAACTTTAAACAATACTCTAAAAGATCTAAGATATACGTTAAAAACTAGTAATGTAAAATAATATGGTACATTAAACAGCAGCCTGAACATGAGTATAATGAGCAGATGGGTATGAATACAGCAGCATGAAATAATCAGCAGCATGAGATCAGCAGCATGGATAATCAGCAGCACAGATAAGTCACATATCACCAATTAAAGTGGCATTACATTGATTTTCCTGGTTAGGGATTTATGAGTAACAGCTTCAGGGTAGAAGCTGTTCCTCAGTCTAGTGGTTCTATACTTAATGCTCCTCAACCTCCTTCCTGAGGGGAGCGGGGCAAAACGTGTGTGTGCTGGGTGAGTGGGGTCCTTCATGATGCAGGTGGCCCTCTTCCTGCATCTGGAGGTGTAGATGTCTGTGATGGTGGGGAGGCTGACTCCAACAGACTTCTGTGCAGCCTTCACCACTCTCTGCAAAGCTTTTCTTTCTGCAGCTGTGCAGCCTCCATGCCACACGTTGATGCTGGAGCACAGGACACTGGAGCCACCAGATTTTTCTTTCAACTCTACTTTTGTCACCCACCTCACAATGTCTAATGCACTACTACAGGTTATATTTGTAGCTACCTTTATTTTAACCATAGTTCTGTCAGCAGCCTGGGGTCCTGCTTGCTACAAGCAGAGGTTGGCCCTTCTTCCACTGTTTTAGTGTGGAAGTAGAAGTGGACAGCTGCTCTCACAAGCAAACGCCTACACCACCATCACTGCTGTCACGCCGCTCATCTCGGCTCGGCTCCACTCTGCTCCCCAGCAGGCGATAAAGAAAAGTCCATAAACATGATGGAGAGGGTGGTCAACCTTTGGCCTGAAGACGGCATTAGTGCACTGCTGTTCCCTGTCTGGCTCAAAGCGTTAAAAGTATGAGGCGCCTTCATTGAGCAGCTGAACAGGAAATTAAATGTGGAATGAAACGTCCAGATTCAGCAGGCAGACCACGTCTTCAATTCAGCTTTTGTTTGAAATGGATCAGAAAAGGGATTGTTGAAGAGGCTTTGCTGTCCAAAGGTCTCCAGTGGACTTCAATTCATTAGAACAAGATAAGCTATGTTAGGATAGTTGGTTTGGAAGTTGCCTTGTTGTGCATCACTTCTAAATCATCATTTTGAGCTACTTGAACAGTTACGGGCACAATTTTTTACCAGCTTATCTTAATTCCCCGTCTTAATTTTACAGTTTTGGCCTCCTGCATCTGTTGTCCCTCACCTCCCTGTTTGCATTTTTGTCCATTTCTTCCATAAAGTCTTGTCTCTCTGTCTCCACCTTTCCTGTGTCTAGTTAAAGCAGAGGGAGATGTGCCTCCATCACCAGCGTCTTCACACCACAGCAGCACGCAGGCGCCCAGCCTGACGGAGGAAATCGGGAGGCGCACCCTGCAGGGCAGCCAGAATTCCCTCAACACCGTCAGCTCCGGTAGCGGCTCCACCTCTGGCATTGGCAGTGGTGGAGGAGGCACCGGGGTGGCGGTTAGTGGGAACTCTGTAGTCGCCGCCACAGCTGCCACCACTTCCTCCTCCCAGCCCCCCATTGCCAACTCCACCGGCGTCTCCTCTGCGGTGCAGCCCTATGACGTCGAGATCCGACGTGGTGAAAACGAAGGATTTGGCTTCGTCATCGTCTCGTCAGTGTCGCGTCCTGAAGCAGGCACCACCTTTGGTAAGTGATGCATATATATATATATATATATGTATATGCATTAGGGCTGGACAATAATTCGATATCAATATATATCACGATATACTTTTATTCAATAATGGTGTTATGAGTTTTAAGCACATTTTCGATATTTCGATATGATTACAGTGTTTCACAGACGCATTTCTTTTTCTGTTCGGGTTGAAGCAGCCGCTTCAGTTTCAACCTGGACAGAAAAAGCTGCAACACAAATACGTAAGTGCGTGGTGACGTAGATGTTATGCAGAGCTCGAGTCCAGAAGGAGTTAGCGGTAGCAGGCTAGGCTAATCTCCAACGCGCGTTAAGTTTTCGTATCAAAATGAGTGCCCATGACCGTCAGAATGTGACTGAACAAGCTTTCACAAGTAAAGAGAAAGCAGATGACATAAATGAAAAGAGAGGAAAGACTAATTTGACGGTGTGGAAGTGGTTCGGCTCTCTAAGATCCAATAAACTGCAGGTTTCAGTCAGTGTGCTGCAAAATGTGACAGAGTCGTTCCAACTAGCGGTGGGAACACATCTAACTTGTTCCACTTGATAGAAGATGCTGAGAGTCAGAAGATGAAGCACAATAAAAGTCTGAGCCAACGTGTCCCTGAAACACCCCCAGCTGTATCAAAAGAGAAACATGGGTTAGGTTATGTTGTTGCTTCCAGTTAAAACTATTAATATTGACAAAGTTGAGAGTTTTATGTTTATTTGCCGGTGATTTCAATTTCTTTGAAGGCTAAATACAAATAAAAGGTGAACATTAATTTATTTGTACAGTTTGTGCAGTTTTTCTGAGGCTTTCATATTGTTTATATCAATATCAAAATATATCGTTATCGACCGAAATTCAGAAATATATCGTGATAAAAGTTTTGGCCATATCGTCCAGCCCTAATATACATACACACACAACATTTGTGGAAACATTGATACATGCTACATGCAACTATTACAGATTCTTCTCAGCAAAACCTGAAACACACATATAAGCTTTTTCTTAACTTTTGGGTTCTTTAAATCTTTTTGTCATCTTTGTGGGATTCCTTTGTATCATCTATTAAAACCACTGAACGCTATGCCTGACAGCCTGCACAGATTGTGGCTATTTACACTCGCGACTGATCAGTATCAACAACCTTCAAAGATGTGCATCTTTTTTCCCTCACATTTTTGCTTAAGCCTGTCAAAGCGAGACATTGAAGCTCTTTCCTCCACTGCAGCTGTGGCTTTACTCTCACAGAGCCTTCATAATTGATCACAAGTGAAGTGGAGCTTACGTAAGACACTTTGTATTATTCAACTCAATTTAAATGGCTTCAGCTGAACAGGTCGGTACCATACGCCAAATTACAGCTTAATGAGGATGCAGTTCTCCAAACAGGAAATCAAAAATATTCAATCACTCAGACTCGTCTTGAAGATCGTTTTGACTAACTGCTTTTAGACATCTGGCTTTTTCAGCCTCAAAGTTGGTGCTTTTTTACTGCCACATTCATAAATACATGAATTCAATGGAAACTGATTCTTATTTACAAAACCAGTGGTCTGTTTTCTATGCATTGCACTATTTGGCCTCACTGCCTCTGCTTATATTACTATGACATTTCACTGCCCTCCGTGCTCTTGCCTCTGCTGCTGTGAGTAGACTAAAGAAAATCTAAAATCGCTCAGCTTCTTGGGTTGGTTCACAAAGCGGCAAATTTCCCCTTCACAGGCCTGAGTCGATGGCGCAGGCTTGCAGATGAGCTTTATTTGCTTTGATTTAACATGTAAAATTCACATTTCTTCCCTTTCACTCTGCACTCAATTTTTTACTGCCTACAGCTGGCTAGATTCAGTTAATCAGACAGAAATGGGTTTGGAGGGGGGATGGAGAAATTAGTGCTTGAGTAAAGTAGTAAGGATGATGCACGGTTTATGTGAGTAATAATAAAAAAGTAAGAGGAGTGAGGATAGAGTGATTGCATGCATCCGTCTGCAGACGGAGAGGAAGAGAACAGCTCAGGGTGGTTGGTGAGATGTCAGCTCTGATGAATGTTTGTCGTCTCCAGCATCCTGCAGGTACAAGTATCTGGGATGTAGAGTTGCAGACTTGTTACCCCATTAGCTTGTTCCTGCCAAGATGGTAATATATTAATCACACTTTTAAGACTCGTAATACAGCGAAAGCTTTAATAAAAGAAGCGGATGCAAGATAGGATATGTGGGTTCAAATTTTCCTATGATTTATCAGGAAAAAATGGATTTTCAGAACTGCAGTGTGGTACTTTCTCTGATTTCTTTGCAGAGATAATTTACATTTGGCCTCCTTCGCCGATGCTTGCATTTTATTCTGATATATCTTGATCCTCTTGTCTTTTTTTTTTGCCTTTAGCTTTGCTGGCTGCTGGGGAATTAACTCCTAACCCTGCTGATTTTTCTCTTTCTGCTCCTTTTTCTCTTCTTCTTCCATCTCTCCAAACATGACCCTTCACACACCCTAAACGTACACACTGAATGTGAACATGTGATCAAAGCTGGAAATGCATGTGTGGCCATGCCTCACAAAATAGGGCGCATCATCGAAGGGAGCCCAGCGGACCGCTGTGGGAAGCTGAAGGTTGGCGACCGCATCCTGGCTGTGAATGGATGCTCCATCACCAATAAATCCCACTCTGACATCGTCAACCTCATCAAGGAGGCAGGGAACACTGTCACACTGCGCATCATTCCTGGAGACGGTGAGTTCAAAACAGCAGCTGAAAACTCAACTTTAAACTAATAATAATGTGTATGAACTGTCATCATCGTATGTTCCCTTACAATGGCAATGGCTCTCTGCATTTAACCCATCCACCACCAGGTGGAGCAGTGGGCGGCTGTGGAAGGCACCCGGGGAGCAACTGGGGATAGGGTGTCCTGCTCAGAGACACCACGAGATGTGCAATGACCAGGGATCGAACCTGGGACCTTCGGGTCCCGAGTCGGCTGCCCTGCCCCTACACCATCTCGGCCCCCTATAGAAGCTGATTTTAACAGCTGAAGCAGTTTTTTTTTTTCTTTAGATAAAATTTGGCCTTTTGAGATATTTAAAGGAATACCTTGCTATTTGAGAAGCAGGGTAGCCTTTAGCTACTTTTTTCTTTCAACCTTTATTATACAGGTTATTCTCATTAAGCCTCAAGGACTCTTACAAGAGAGACCTTTCTTAAACAAAGAATGATGACATCAGTAGAAAATCGTTAAAAATATAAATATAAATTGAAAAATAAATGGAAGAAAGTTATATAAAAAATTAAAAAAACAGCTACATTATAAAGCGATGTAGAAAGCTAAATACAGGAACATGTCTGCGTTGGTTTTTGCCATGAACTTAGCAGATGTTTGAAGCCACTTAGAGAGGTCAAGGTCTAGAGCTTTAGATCTTTTTGTAAGATATTCCAGGAAACAGGAGCGGAGCAGAAGGCCCTTTTGCCTAGTTCAGTCCTCACTGAGGGAACACTGCAGGTAATAATGTCCTGAGAGCGCACGCTGTAGCTGCACTCGCGTAGAGACATGTAGGAGGAGATGTATGAAGGCAGCAGACTAAGAAGTGATTTAAAGATGAAAATGTACCAGTGGGAGAGTCTGCGTGAAGTTAATGATGACCAGTTAACCAGTGAATACAGGGTGCAGTGGTGGGTACGATAATCACAGCCAGTTATAAATCTTAGTGCACCATGATAGACAGCATGCAACATCTGCAGGGTTCTTGTAGGAGCATTCATGTAAATAATGTCACCATAGTCAATGGAGGGAAGGGAAGTCACAGATACAAGGCGTTTCCTAGCATTCAGAGTTAGGATCTATTTCTGAAAAAGAAACCCAGTTTAACTTTCAGTTTCTTTACCAGGTTTTTGATGTGGGACTTAACTGAGGTGTAAATCGACCAAGATACCCAAATATTTATAAGAATCGATAAACTCAATAGGAACTTATTGCCAACAAGAATAAGCAGACGATGAGGATTGTACCGTTGTCTGTTTTTGACACTGTCTGTTCCCAAAGTATCTCCTGAACAAGTGGACAACTTTTAATTAGTTCCCAGAAATTAGTTACCAAATGTACATCTACAACGGATTAACGTTTGAGTCATGCTAGTTCAAGATAGCCGCCACAACCAACTGATTTACAAAACACAAAAATGGCTTTAACACGGTATTTTTATTTATTTATTTATTTCACAAATATGGAGCTAAAATCTGAAGTAGTAGTGGCTGATAGTCATTCACAGCACATACCTGTACACATAAATAAAAAATAAAGAAACAAATAAAGAAACTCTGACATAATCACACAAAAGGTCATATGTAAGGTTTAACCAAAATGGCTCAGCAGTGTCATATCTCAATATAAGATGAGACTCTGGCGTGAAATCTCAGAGGCGACGTGCAATCTTTCAAGGAATGCTAGGTCTTTGATCTTTTGTGTTTTTTTCTTGTTTCACTGCCTGTATTAGATGGTCGTCAGCACATTTGCTGTTTAGTACCATCACAGAAGACGAACACTATGAGCTGGGTCTGTAGTAATACATATTTCACCAACTAAAACATCAATATCACAAGTTTATGAAACATTTATAATCTTTCCACTTCAATCCTTTACGGATTGACAGACCAATCCAACAAGTCCAACCGTCCTTTTCTTGATTCTTGGACATAATTCTGCCAAAAAAAAACTTCCAAGATGGACGAACAGCAAAGTGCAGATTTGTCTTTTCCCTTTTAGGGGTTCATTTTCACATTTATCAAATATTATCAGGATTATCAGAGTCGCAGAATCAGATTAAATCAGTGAGACAAGTCTATAATTTTATGATGAGGTGTGTGTTTTGTATAAGAGTTGCAATTCTTCCACTCGTTTTCAAAGTGCGTGTGACGCCTCCGCTCTGTTGATGGAAGTGCCTCTTTGGAGTTGTTTGGGAGTTTTTCCGACCGTTGCAGTTTTGCCTTTGGCATGCCCGCGCTTTCAGAGCGCACAAGAGTAATTTAGTCGTCTGTGTGCGTTTGCTTCTGTGAAAGAGAGAAACGAAGCAGAACTTCACTACATGAGGGTGTGTCTCATCCTTCAAATTGGTTTTTGAGAATACGTTGTATGTCGTATTGAGCAGCTGAGATCTTTGTGCCAACACATCACCCTGGCATCCTTCCTAAATGCTGATTACTTGAGCTCGTGTGTGTATGTGTAAGCGAGTCGACCTGGCGCACTGATAGATTGGAGCATTTGTCCGCCCATCGTTTTTTTTTTCCGGCTCGCTTCTTTTGGATGAAGAGGGAATTTCTTTCTTGTTTTTCTTCAGAGCAGTTGATGAGAACAGTGAGACCAAATTGCAACAAGACACAATCTGAGAGAGAAGGCGTCGAGGAGAAATAACCAGATGGGCTTGATCGGAAAATTCTTGTTTGTGTTTATGAGCATGTGTCAAACAAACTTGACACTGTCTGACGCGGAGACAGAGGGAGTGTTGGGGAAAATTGCGGCTCGTCTTTTGAAGGTTGCTCCGAAGAAGGGATTGTTCTCTTTCTTTTGTTTACAAATTGTTGCCTATTTCTGTGAGGATCAGTCCTGTCTGTGAGGTTTTGGATGCAGACACCACAGCAGGAGTCGCGTCCAAGGTGAAGTCAGGTTCAGCTCGCTTTTTCCATGTGTGGGAGCAAACATGGAGTTTTGCACCAGGAAAGGGTGTTTTACAACAGAAAAACGAAGGCTCGCCACATTTATTGCTTCTATTGTATAAAACAGGGGTGTCCAAAGTGTGGCCCGGGGGCCATTTGTGGCCCTTGAAGTGATTTTATGCAGCCCACATTTGCAGTTTAAGAGTGGTGTAAATTTGGCCCGTAGGCTTCAGAGACTGATGCAGATGTAGATCGTTTGAAAGTTTAATGTTGATCATTTTTTTATATAATTTTTAGGTTTAACAGCAAAACAGAAAAAAATTTAAAAAAAAGTCTCAAAATGAGCAGTACAGTAGTCCCTCGCTACTTCGTGATTCATTTATCGCAGTCTCGCTCTGTCGTGGTTTTTCAAAATAAGATTGTACATGACACACAATTGGCTGATTGATGGATGAGCCGCATGATCGGCATGGAATTTTTATTTGAAATAAATTATTTTAAATTATTTAAAACCTGCTGCACCTTTGTGCAGCCCATACTGCAGGATATGTTTCCTGCTGCAGCTGATCAGCTGATCACCGTGCAGAGTAGAGAAGTGGGCGTGGCCAAAAGCGCTTGCAGGTGTCAAAGAGCAGGCGAGGCAGGGAGCTGATATGACGTTCTGTGCTCTTTTAGAGCATTTAGAGTTTAGAAACATTGTTTAGAATATTGCAAGAGTGTGGGAAGGATTTAAAACACCTTTATAAATATTCTTTATAAATATAAAAATAATAATAAATTTAAAATAATAAAAAAAAAAATATATGTATGTGTGTGTGTGTGTGTGTGTGCTTTTTATTCATATTTTCATGGCTCGTGACTCCTTTCATCTTAAAAGTTTTGGCCCACATATGAAAATGTTTGGACACCCCTGGTATAAAACAAGGGAGGTAGACATGGCTGTAGGATCTTTTAGCTTTTATTTATTGTTAGATAAAATATACATTACGGCAAAGACTGGTTCATCCCAAAGATCCAGTCCCCCGGCACAAACAGAGCAATGTTGTGTATGCTGTTCAGTGTCAGGAGGGCTGTGATCAGTCTTACATCAGGGAAACAAAACAGCCACTGGCCAAAAGGATGGCCCAGCACAGAAGATCAACATCATCAGGCCAGGACTCTGCAGTCTACACTCATCTCCAGGCCAGCGGTCACTCTTTCAGGGATGAAGATGTTCACATCCTGGATAGAGAGGAACGATGGTTTGAGAGAGGAGTAAAGGAGGCCATCTTTGTGAAAAGAAACCGTCCATCATTAAACAGGGGTGGAGGCCTCCGGGTTCAATTGTCTCCGTCTTACAATGCTGTGATTGCTAGTATCACTCAGCCCTCTGTGAATAACAAACAGCCATCAGTGTGCTAATGATCCATTGTTAGGCTGATGGTCCTTCTTGAGCATGTGATCAGCTGGTTTTGGTTGTCAGCAGCAAACTGGTTGATCCACTCTGAGACGGTGCTATTTAAGAGACTGAGCTGAATACAGCACCTCAGACTGAGGAAGTCTTTCAGATGAGAGATGAAACGTTTCTACATTTGTTTTGTTTTTTTGAATGTCCAGAGGACCAGATTTAACTTTTTTAGATAAAATATACATGTTTCTTTGTTTCATTTTAAGGTGTATTATGAACATATCTTCTGTCTTTTCTTCATTCAGGTCTGGAGAACATAACAGATTCAAAAGTGTTACAGAAACCGTTTCATATCTTTTTGCAGATGTATTCAGGCAACAGAGCAGAAAATCAAGGGCGACTCAAGTAAATTTATTTGAGAGAAATGAAGCAGAGTGGAAGGTGATCTTTACAGAGGGGTAAAAGGGTTTATGGGGACATTTAAGAAGCTACAAAGCCGTCACGCTGAAGCCCAAACTAAAACTTTAAAGGCATGCTCATATTTATTCTGAAAGGAAAGGTAATGCCACCCACACTTCAGCTTGATTAATCGTCCTTATTCCTCCTCTGGTAACTGAAGGGTTAAGCTGAAAGCCTCCGAGTGGAGTAACAGAAGAGAAGATGATGAAAAACGGGAAACTGACCATGAGAGAAATGTCCGAAGGCCGACTTATGAAGCTGTTTTCAAATTCTAGATGGATGATAGCCAAGAAAGATCAGGTTGTTACGGAGGAGAAATGCTTCTTAACGCAGCAGGAGCGGTGTAACGCCGGTCCCGTTTGTCGACTTGTGTTTTTCATTAATGACGTAAATTGATTCCATCAGCGTAGAGATAAAAGACAGAATAACCAGGAGCTTGTATGTCCAGAATGAAACGTCTTTCAGGTGGAAATAAGAAGAGACAAGTGACAGAGTGATTGATGGTGTAAACAGTGTTAGCCTGGTTGCTTGGATCTTGGCTAAGTGTTTGAGGAAGCTGGTGTTGGGAGCTGCAGGGGTCTCTGTGGGTCACGTATTGTTTGTAGCTGACAGCTGATGAATACCCACGAGTGTACACAACAGACCTGGTTCATTTAACCACCAAATCTCCTAAAACACCGGAGGCGTTTGCTGAAGAAATGATCATATTTTCTTTCAACACATAAAGTTTTTTATTTTTTGTTCCCACTTTAGAGTCATCAAACGCATCTTTACTGACAAATGCAGAGAAGATCGCCACTATCACCACCACTCACACCGCTCAGCAACAGGCCACACCTGAGGCCAGGTGAGCAGCACCCTGACAGAGTACACCGTAAAACCAGGTCTTTAGTCATTGAATTTCTTAGATAAATGTTTGTTTGATTCTGTTTCAGGACCAACACCAAACCAAAACAAGAATCTTATGAATTCAAAGCACCACCAGCTCCCCCTCCTCAGTCCACCACCCAGACGGATTCAGCTCAGGTAAGAGCACAGCAGTCACTCACCTGCCATCCATCCATTATCTTAACCCGCTGCTTCATTTTTGGGTTGGAGGGTCACTGGTGCCCATGTCCAGCCACCACTGTTTGAGGGGCGGGGTGCACCCTGGACAGGTCTCCAGTCCAGAGACAAACGAGACAAACAACCATTCGCTCTCTCACTCACACCTAGAGACAATTTAGAGTTACCAATCAGCCCAACATGCATGTTTTTAATCTGTGGGAGGAAACTGGAGTACCCAGAGAAAACCCACGCATGCACAGAGAGAACATGCAAACTCCACCCAGACCAGAATGGGCCCCTGGCTGGGATTCGAACCAAAGATCTTCTCGCTGAGAGGCAGCAGCTGTACCAACTGCGCCACCGTGCTGCATCAGTTCATTTCATGTCTCCCATCAGGCACCGCAGCGCTCCTCCTAACCGCATCACCACCGTCTCTCCAAACATCCATTCATACAGTTACATCATCCAAACACTCATTCATCCTCTGTCCCCTCCAACTTGCACCTCCACCCACCTGACCAAGGACAAATGTGCTTTTTGTAACGTGTTTATCTTTTGTTTTACGCTCGCCTGCTGGTGTTAGCTGAGTCTGTGCATTAAGGGAAGCCTGTTTACTTTCAAAGTAGCTCCTCAGACCATTGTGTTCAGCGCTGAATTAATTTGGTGTTGTGAAGATGGCTCTCCCAGATAACATTGATCCCTCCGCAGAGGAGATTAGAAGGACATGAAGACAAAGCTGCAGAGACTGTCTGCCTGTCCTTGTGATGCCCAGTCTGTCTCTGGCTCTCTATTGCCTAGAGCCCAGGGCATCAATAATTCAGCACCCATACACCTGAGCATATGCATACACACACACACACACACACACACACACACACACACACACACACACTCGTGCAGAAAGAAAGAGAGTCTGGCACAATGATTAAATGTGTGTGACTTTCCTGGAGGTGGCATTTGTCCTCCTGCTCCTGAAACCAGAGACTGCTTCAAAAAGACACACATTTACAAACCAAACCACAAAAAGTGACCTTGATGCTAATGTGTCTCCGTCCCTCTCCCCGTTTGTGTCCACATGTGGTCTGCCTGCATCAGGATTCGGAGTTCTACTCGGTGGACCTGGAGCGGGACAACAAAGGTTTTGGCTTCAGCCTGCGGGGAGGCAGAGAGTACAACATGGACCTGTACGTGCTACGGCTGGCTGAGGAGGGAGCAGCTGTGCGCAACGGAAAAATGAGGGTACGGACACAAACTGGCCAACGCACCAGCACCTTAACCTGCAAACTGGTCTTTATGTGGACTCATTGAAGCTGTCACTCAAGTTTGTCTTGAAAACTTTTTTTGACTTGAGTTGTTTTGGAAATGTGAAGGTGAAACGTTTTGTCCAGTGTGACCCTCACAATTAAAAAAAAAAACAAGACTATCCACCTTCAGCTACACACACTCTAATGCAAGACTCAGAAAAATCTTGAAGGAAAACAATTCCTATGGCATTCTTACTATTGTACTGAATTAAAACAAAATATACAGTAGTCCCTCTCTACTTCGCAGTTCATTTTTCATGGACTTGCTCTATCACGGTTTTTCAAAATAAGATTGGACATGACACACAGTTGACTGATTGATGGATGAGCTGCTCAATCTGCATGGAATTTTTATTTAAAATGAATTATTTTAAATTATTTAGCACCTGCTGCACCTTTGTGCAGCCCATACTGCAGGATAAACTTCCTGCTGCAGCTGATCAGCTGATCTCCGTGCAGAGTGGAGAAGTGGGTGTGGCCAAGAGCGCTTGCAGGCGGCTGAGAGCAGCCAGGCAGAGAGAGGGAAAGCATGACATTCTGTGTTTGTTTAGACCGTTTAAAGTTTAGAAACATTGTTTAGAATATTGCATGAGTGTGGGAAGGGTTTAAAATGCCTTAATATGTATATACAGTATACATATAAATACTAAAACTACTACTTAATGCTTGTACTACTGTTCCTACTTCACGATTTTTCACTTATCGCGGGACTTCAGGGTACAGATCCTCCATGATAAACGAGGGACTACTGTATTTACATATCTTTACATATCTTTAGTTATATTTTACTCTTGTTGAATTTTCACTGGAATAATTTCAAAACCAACTTTTTTAAAAATTATTGTACACCTTTAGCTGCTGTATTTGAAAGCACCAAACAGATTCCCTGGAGTTCTGCTCCTTCAGCTGATTTAGCTCATAATGCAGCAAGCCCGTTATTTATCTGATTAGCTTTTGCCCTCATAAAGTCTACAATAGTCCCTCAGTTAATGCGGGGGTTACGTTCCAGACACCACCGCGATAGGTGGTGAAGTAAGAACGCTATATTTATTTTACTATTATATATATATTTTAGGGCTTTATAAACCCTTCATACACTCTAGCAGTGTTCTAAACTCTTAAACCTACATCATTTTAACAACATGCGTATATGTACAGTACAGTACTGCAAAACTTTACGCACCGTTGGCTTCTGGGTAATGTAGTTATTTTGACTTGTGTTACAGTGTAGGATTATTGAAAGAAAACTACAAAATGGCGGCGCCTGACCAAAGTAATTAATTTTTTATGTTTTTATCCCGTACTGTGCCAATCACGTGACAATCGTGTGTCGTGCACAATCTTACGTTGAAAAACAATGATAGTCAAACCGCGAAGCAGCGAGGGACTTCTGTACATCTTTGTTGGAATGTTAAGGCCTCCAAGAGAAATCTACTAGGAATCATCACCATAGATCTGCTAAATCTAAAAAAAAAATGAAGCAACCGCCACGTTTTATTCATTTAGCCGATTACAGTAACTTGTGTTTCTCTGAGTGGCGTTGACTATTTATCTGTTCTGAAGTGATTAGTTTTAAGAACTCCTCACTTGCAGGTGCTTCATAAAACTGCCGGCTGTTCTGTTTAGCACCTGACTGCCTTTTGAGACTTCAGAGCCATCACAACAATATTATCCGTCACTGTAAGTTGACTCGCCTAGTGTGCACCCCTCCCCCACCAATTACTGCCAGCCGTGCTTCAGCGAATACAAACACAGTCATGTGAAATGATTTACTGTCAGTGCAACATTAAAACACACAAACAGTGCAGCGCTATGGAGCATAACCACTGACAGAAAATGTAGCTTTTAATTAATTACAGGCCCCCGCCTCAGAAGATGCCATAAAATGTGATATTTAACTTTTGAATTTGATAAAGTGCAAAGCTTGTAGTGCTTCATGTGTGCAAGTGATGATACGTGTCAGAAACTTGTTGGTAGGTGTTTTAAAAACGTGTGATTTAAGTATTTTTATTTTCCTTTGCCCATCTCAAGGAGATCATAGAGTCTGTTGTTCGTGCCGCACTTTGTTTGAGCGCACATTATTAGCCGAATTATTAATAGCGGCGGCTCTGTCAGGCAGAGGTGTTGAGGAGAGATCCACTTTCTGCCTGGGAGGTATTCCCCCGGTGCAGACGGCGCTGACAGATAACCTGAGGAGTGCATTCAAAGAACCCAGAAGTGTTTTTTCCTCGTTCCTGTTTTCCATCTATCATTTTCTCCCTCTTCCTCTCAGCATCACATGATGCTGTTTAGCGTGTTCTCTCTGTAAACTGTTAGAAAAAATGTTGTTGGGGGGAGCAAATGTTCATTTCATCATTAAGTAGATGTTGATGTGTAACGCCTTGTCAACCTGTCCTCCCTTCCCTTGTCTTGTATCCTGTTGAACCTCTTTCCTTCTCTTCATCCTTCCGCCCTCTCATTTGTTTTGCTCCGCTGTCTCCTCTCATTTTTCTGGCCCATCTTCACCTCCTCCTCCCCCACATTCACCTGTCATTATACCTTTTTTTTATTTTATTATTATTTCCTAAATCCCACCTTTTCCTTTCCCTCTTCTCCTCTTTTCCTGCCTGGCTGCTTATTTTTCTACTCCAGGTCGGCGATGAAATCTTGGAGATAAACGGCGAAAGCACCAAGGGCATGAAGCACGCGCGAGCCATCGAGCTCATCAAGAACGGAGGACGACGCGTCCATCTGGTGCTCAAGAGGGGGGATGGCTCCGTGCCTGAATATGGTGGGTCAATCTACGAAAACATTCCCTTCTCACCCATCTTCACACCCTGAGCCGGGGCCGGTGGATGGTGGTGGGTTGAAGTGGGAAGAACTGAATCGCTCTACCTGGACCCTTCAGCCCCTCCCGACGTAAACACATCAGGGAGAAGGGCGGCTTGGCTTTAGGTCTTTTACGTGGTGAAGGTCTTTCCTGTGCTTTTTGGATCCCGGTGGGGGAAGAGCTGGAAGCTGCTGTCACCTGCTCTCAGTTTCCATGTCGTCCTGCTGTCACTTTTCACCTTCTGGCCTCTGAGCAAATGTACTCTTCTGGGACTTTACAGGACGGTGGTGGGTCTGATTTCAGTGTTACTTAAAAAAAAAAACTGTTTACAGGGTTTGAATGGCCATAGCAGGAAACGAATCAATGATTCTTTTGATAGGAACATGAATGGCTTGAACACCAATTCAGCATTTTAAGCGGAGAAACTTGAGTCATTGCACCCCATCAGAGAAGTGGGACGTCTCACAGCCACATTGTGACACAAACCTATTTATGATATTTATTGAAGGTGAATGTAAGCTACTGAACTCCTAAAGGTTTAAGTGAGAAACACACTGAGAAGAAAAGGCAGTGAGCCGCTGTGCTTTTCTCCATTTTTAATTCAACGTCTCACTAATGTGCTTATTACTCACTCGTTCATGGGATTATTTTTCCTGTTTTTAATCTCAGCGTTAAATGTCATTGAAATGACGAAAGATAAAACGTCACCACATTCTCGTTAAAAAAACAAAACAAAAGAGTTGTTGCGGTTATATAAATGTTTTTGTACAGTGATGAAATAAATAGAGGCATTTTTAAGTATTTTTGTTTGTTGTACAGAGCCATGAATCAAAGCCACATATTAATAGATTAAAGTTTATTGCTGCATGAACTTGTTAGGAGTGTAAATCTGAACTGTTTTATTTGCTCCTCCTATTGTCTATTTTCCATAATATTTATGGAATATCTCTTTTTTTTTTAATTGTACTGACAAGTTTGTATTGATAGTCAAGAGTAATGAACAATTTACTTTGTCTGGCCTTTTTGTCTGTTTTTCTTTTTATTATGTTTGAGCGTAGAGTTGCCTATGTTAAGCTTCTTTGCGCTAAGAATGTGCCGTCTGATCTGCAACATCGTGTGAACTTTGTATATTTGGACCATTGTTTGTACTTTTTAGTTGATTTGTCAGTTTTGTTGGTGTTTTTTTTTTTTTCTGATATTTGGATTTGGTCTTTCTGCTGCTTCTTTGTCTACATGTCCAGGTGTGTGTGTGTGTGTGCGTGTGTGCGTGTGTGCACTTGATTCCAAGACGTTTCTGTGTAACAGATTGCTTTCACTGAAGGGTTGGGTCAACTTCCTGGACTGTCTCTTTACTCTGAATGACTCGATGATGAAATAAACACCTTTTTTCATTACGAATCAACACAAACAATAATTCTCTCGTCTTTCTTCAAGTCTGTTCCAGCAGATCTAAACTACTGTGTTTTTTTTCTGTTTTTGTGTATCCTCTCCTCTCTGTGTGTTGCTCTGGGCTTCCTTCAGGGATGGCCGCTCCCCATCTCACTGCATGTGTGAGAAATGACAAGATGGGGGAGGCCTCTGTCCTCCAAAATCAGACCACGGTTTGTAGCTGTCCTCTGTCGTCTGGCTTTCTTTGTGTCTGCGACTTCTTCATCCCGACGTGTGTTGTGTGGCCTCAGATCACTCATGCCCGTGCTCTACTCCATGCTTATAAATCCGTTCACCCTTTGTTAGTATAGCTACTTCTGTAGCTCTTATTTTAAACACTTTTAAAGCTTTAAATGCAGTGCCCTTATAAAGCAGGAGATGACCTAGTCATATGAAGCATTGGGGTGGCATAGGAGAAACGTTCCTGGGACTAGATTGGTAACATTCAGTACCTTTTTTAAAATGCCACCCAAACACCTTTCGTCACTACAGTATCCTGTTGAGTCTCATCTTGATCATTTGAATTGTGTTGAAGACTTACTTTGTGTCTGGGGGTTTATAATGGTGCATGAAATAGCATGGCTAATCTGCACAATCTGTGTCATTACAATGAAGGACCTCAGCACTGATTATAATTAGCCTCTGGTCTAACCACCCAACAGGACACACTTCATTCTGCTTCAGAGACGTGACCCCAAGTTAGGCCGGGAAACAGGTTTGTTTTGGGTAACAGCTGTTTTTGATGCAATGGCTGCTTCTCGACCGTCTCACTGCCTTTTATTTCGTAAGCTGCTATCATTGGCTGCTACTGTGCCATCTAACATTTGCTTTTAACATCAGACTGGCTTCCATTGGAGTTGTTCTCAGCTTCATGTCTGAGTGAGTCGGCATGATTAATGTAAAAGCCGTTCGAGTCCTTTAGAGTCCAGATTGCATGTTCGATTGCGCTACTCTCATTTGTATGTCACACTGTGTTGCAGACGGCAACCCTGACGACCTCATCCCAGCCGACACAATCACAAGGCTACAAAACGCTGCGGAAGTGAGCAACCTGCCCCAAGTGAGCACGCCATCAGAGTCGAGCAACCCACCAGAACCCCCGCAAACATCCCGGACCAAGCCAGAGCGGAGCCGCCGGACTCATGGCACTGGCACACAGCACCGTTCCAAACACCGTCACCACTCCCCTAACAAAACCAGCACAGGAAAACACAGGAGGAGGAAGAAGGATGGCAAGGAAAATCACGGGCACCGCCACCAATCCAGCGGGCGCCACCGTAGCCGCCACCACTCTCCTAACAAGGGGCACAGCCGGTCGCGCAGTGCAGACAACCTGGATAACCAACATCGAGGACACCGCCGTGGTCGCTCTCCAGAAAGGAGGCACGGTCATCATTCTTCCTCCAACCACCGCTCCCCGTACCGTTCTCCACGACGCTCGCCTTACCGCTCGCCCAGACGCTCGCCTTACCGCTCGCCCAGACGATCTCCGTATCGCTCTCCTCACCGTCACAGGTCTCCCCACCGCTCTCGGCACTACTCCCCTACCAGACGTCGCCACCACTCAACAGACCCCTACCGGTATGGCTCTGCGGAAAGACAGACTCGTCAAAATGAGAAGCCTGTTTCCAATGTGGCAGCGCTGAATGACCCAGTCAGGACCCCTGAACCCAACCTTTTTGATGACCTCGATCTGCAGGAGTCCTCTACCCTGGGCCGTCTAAACAGGGAAGTCACTCTTCCACCTTATAAGAAAGAGGCTCGCCAGTATGGAGAGAACAGCCTACTCATGCAACCCTCCTCCATGGAAAGGGCCTACAGAGGGGACAGGTTGCTGAGTGACGTGCCGTCCCACACCCAGATGAACACTTACAGAGACTTAACCCTGCCCAGAGTCCGCACCCCCGACTTTGACTCAGCCTACGAGAAGTACAGCTCGCTGTTGAGGGGGCACACGCCTGATATGATAGAGCAGGATGGGCGCCGTGCCAGCGGAAGTATTACTCCCGATCTTCAGTACCGATCCCGCAGCCTGGGACGAACCATCTCCCCAGTCAGGTTCAGAGAGGACGACTCCGAGGATGAAGAGGACGATGACAATTTTGTAGCGGCTAAAGTGAAAGAGTACTACAACACACTCAAGACCAACACCAGTCGTCCGTCTAAGCCTGTGCTCCCCGAGCCCAAGAAGACCTACAAGGAGAATCCCAAAGACCTGAGCATCTGATTGAACATCTGTCTCAAGAGAACTACCCACACGACGCCTCAGTTACTTCCATTACCACTCACTTCTGCAAGAATGCACCTACTTATGTAAACACGCTCACACACTTGAACGCAACACACCCGATGACCATATATGCACTCACACTCTACTTATGTACCAACGTCGAGTTACTAACTAAACGGTGATTCCAAATGACTTTTGAAAGCTGTAACTTTTCTGTTCTTTTTTTAATTGTACGTTTTCTTTCTTTTTTTTGTTTAAACATTTTACATTTACAGACTTTTCCAGAAAATGTAAAACCAGAAAAAAACAAAGATGTGCCTAAGAGTTCCATTATCAAGCAGCATTTTGGTTTTGATTTGATATATGGCGGGCGTTTTGTGCCCCACTGTCAGACGATGAAATGTATGTACTTTTCCACGAGGGTTCTGTGGAAGTACCGCTGCCGGTGCTTCCAACGATGCTGTGCATGTCTTTACCGGTTTCAGTGTCTCTCTCTCTCTCTCTCTCTCTCTCTCTCTCTCTCTCTGTGTGTCTCTCTCTCTCTCTCTGTCTCTCTTTCTCTCTGTCTCCTTCCAGTGCCACTGTTTTTTAAACATTTGACCAGACTATAGCACAAGCCTGCATTTGTTTGTATATTTTTGACAGTTTGCAGTATGTGTACATTAAGAGGTGATCATTTTAAATGAGTGAAGGGAAAATTAAAAGTTAAAACTATGATGATGATGATGATGATGATGAAAAAATAAAATAATATATTAAACAAATGGCCATGTGAGTTTGCTTTTTTTTTTTTTTTTTTTTATTTTTTTTTTTTGTTGATGCTCCTTTCACCATCATCCAAAATGGTTGTGGAATTTAATTTGATTTTTTTAGAGTTGGTACATTATATTTTTTAAAATGCTTGAACGAAAGGCACATGACAGCAGGAGGAAACATGTAACAAGCTCATCATCTGGGCAAACAGAAGGGAACATAGCGAGGAGGCTTGCATATTTACTGAAGGCCTTCCAAAAGTGTTTGAGGAAAAGCAAAATAACTTCCATCTTCAAACAAAGCTGAGATAGGACAGTCTTTTCCACTCACTGATTACTTTATCTGCTTTTCCTGAGTCAACATTCCCTCATTCCTTCCTTATCCCTCTCCTCCTGCTCCATCCACTGCCTGCTGTAAGGTTCGTTTGACCAACGGCACAAGAATCTGCATCCATTACTGGAACAGGGATAGGTGGCTGCTGGAGAGTCCTGTGTGGAGGTCCTGGTCCTACCCTACAGATTAACGGAAGCAGAGTATGAAATAGACAGGCGTGGCCCTTTTGTGGCAAATGAATAGCAGAGATTAAGAGAAGTGGGATTCAGTGGAAAGGTTATGAGCATATTATGTGTTACCAGTGGCAGAACGCATGAATGACCTAACATCTAATCCAAGTGGAGCTATCTTACAACTCCAGCGTAAAAAAAAATCATTTTGATTTATATACTTGCTATTTTATGAACAATCTATTTGTTATTACTCATTATTCTTTCAGCAAGAATGTGCACATTTCTAGCTGGACGTGCTCCAGTCAACAGCTGCTGTTGCTTCTGCTACAAATGACTGTCAATGGATGTGAACAAGCATGTAAACATGCAGAAAATGGTCGGCCGTTTGAAATAGATCATTAATTTTTAAAGCAAACCTGTTCCTGTTTTTAGTACGTTTAGTATTTTACCTTGTTTTCTAAGGCACCTTGATTTGATTTAGTTTTATTACGATACTCCTGGGACTGAGATGGTGTAGAGGCAGGGCAGCTGACCTGGGACCAGAAAGTCGTGGTTCGACTCCCTGCCATCTCCACATGTGGTGTCCCTGAGCAGGATACCCAATCCCCAATTGCTCCCCGGGCGCTCAGTAGCTGCCCACTACTCCACCTGGGTGTGTCCCAGGCACGATGGGTTAAATACAGAGAACTGATGTCGTCAGGGATGACAACACATAGCACGTATGCTTTTTAGTTTTTACTTTATTTGCATTTTGTTGTTTATTGTTGTGTGCATTATCTGTGGTTTTGTCTAAAACAGGTCTCTCTTGTAAATGAGTTCTCATGACTCAGTGAGACTAACTTGTATAAATAAAGGATGAATTAATGTATTGTATCACTTATGATTTGGTCAATATTTATTAACTTGTTTGTGCGTGAAAGCTCTAAGACTGTCGGTTTTAGACGACAGCAGTCCGCTTTGCTCTTAGCCTCCCTTGGACTAGCCGTTAGCTCATTAATCTATCCAAACTGAGATCAGACAGAGCCATCTGCAGCAGGTAGGATATTTACTGTTCATAATATTTCCAAAGAGCTCGGTTATTGACAGATTGAAAACACTGATTTAAAATAAAAATCTTATTAAAATGCTGCTCTAAGCAAGAACAGGAACATTTTGTTATTTTTCCAACACTGAAAAGTGAGACTTTGTTTGCTCGTCTTCTCTACTTCAAGCTCACCACGTTTGCTTAAAACCTCGGCCTTGTTTCAGTTAACACGCTTTGTCAGCAAAATATCTTGTGAGTCACTGAAGAGATTTCAGTGAAACTATTCTAGATTGAACATCTACAACTGGTTAAATGTGTCAAACTCGAGGCCCGAGGGCCAAACATGGCCCTTGTTAACATCATATCTGGCCCCAAAGCCAATATTTTTAAAGTTAAATATTCTTAATTCTTTTCATTCTACTTTAAAGATCAGCATACTTTATTTTGTGCAGACATGACTGTTGGACAACTCTGAAGCCAAGAACATTTATTTTGAGTTGTTTTGTAATCTATGATTTTGAAATGTTGAGAGATCAAGTGAGACTGATGAAACTCTTGTTGGGGAACTTGTTGAGGTATCTGACTGGAGTCGATGCTTTGACTGAAACTGGCTGTTTGAAATAAGTTATTAATGTTGACCCTCTTTCTAACAGTGTTTGACCCTGACTTAAGGAGTCAGCCCAGTTCAAGATGGCTGCCACAGCCAAACAACCTTTGCCTGCACAAAAACAATGTACAGGCATATATCTCAGTGAATATTAGACACTGAGCTAAGATCTGGTGTGGTACCTGAGTCATTCCACCACATACCCCAAGCACTAACAGATCGTGTGAAATGATGACATTACCAAACTGGATGAGGTTGTGTTATTTTCAAGGTTTGAAAGTAATTCTGTCACTTCTCACGATAAGATGATCTCAATCTTAAACTGCTATAAACGTCACCTGGAGACACGTCTTAAAGCAGGCATGGGCAACTTAAGGCCCGAGGGCCAAAAGTGGCCCTTGGACAATCTCCATCAGGCCCTCAACGTCCTTAATTCAAAATATTATTTTTTTTAAATAGATTGATTAAAAAAAAAAAACTGATTTATCAACGAGACAAGGAAATTGGGCAGCACGGTGGCGCAACTGGTAGAGCTGCTGCCTCTCAGTGAGCAGGTCCTTGGTTCAAACCCTGGTCCAGGGGCCTTTCTGGGTGGAGTTTGCATGTTCTCTCTGTGCATGCGTGGGTTTTCTCCGGGTACTCCGGTTTCCTCCCACAGACCAAAAACATGCATGTTAGGCTGATTGGTAACTCTAAATTGTCCCTAGGTGTGAGTGAGAGCATGAATGGTTGTTTGTCTCGTTTGTCTCTATGTGTCCCTGTGATGGACTTGCAACCCGTCCAGGGTGTCCCCCGCCCCTCGCACAGTGATTGCTGGACATGGGCACCAGCGACCCCGTGACCCAAAAATGGAATAAGCGGGTAAAGATAATGGATGGATGGATGGACTTAAGGAAATTTAAATTTAAACATCTTGCACAAAACTTTAAAAACAAAATTATTAATCATGTTTCCTGAACTAGACTGAACCGTAAAGACTTAGCAACACAAATACATAAGTTTGCTTTGCATATTCCTGCTAATGTGTATAACATATTAAGTTAATATAATGTCACAAGAGCCATTTTACAGAACATGTCTTATATTCCTTAAAGTATTTTGGAAAGATGCTTTTATAAAGCATGCTAAGTATGCTACAACAAGAAAAAGCCTGACAGAATATTAGATTATCTGTCATAAAGTCTGATTCTCTATGCAGCCCTTCGATTGCTTCAAACATCTTGATATGGCCCTTTGGAACAAAAAAAAAAAAGTTGCCCACCTCCGTCTTAAAGGAATGCCAGGGCCTTTATTTTTTTACACGACTTCCCTTTGCTGCAGCATATGCTAAGGTACTTAATACGATATGTTTTAAAAAGTGTGCATCCTGGATTACCCCGTGGACACAATCTGCGCCGCTCCTGGGAGGAAATGGGAAACGGAGATAAAGCGTCAGTGATCAAGCAGCTCCACATCAGAGCTGTTCTGGCCCAGTTTCTCTGCAGTTCAAGCAGCTTCCAGTCATTCAACTCCTTTTGATTCAAACATCTGAAAAAGCTCTTACATGGTCACGTTTATGCAGCTGCTCCAGAAAGAAAAACAGGACTGTAGATGAAGATACACCAAAAATGGTTTGTTTAAATCAAATACCCCATGAATACTCAAGTATAAGACTTTAGATGATAGACAATTATTGTTATCTTAATATTTTTCCCATGTAAAACGATGCCTTGCTGTGGGTTTAAGCAGCTTCCACAGAGACAGATGCTTGCATCCTGCTGCGTTCTTGCAGGAGGAGAACCATGCAGCTCCTAAATAATGGATAGAATCCTGTTCGGAGCACTGAAACACTCCTCCCCTCTCTTTAAATATCTCCCTCTTCATCAGGACACCGTTCACCCTTCATCACCAAATTCAAAAGCAGCCACGTTTTATAGTTTGTGCCACCTGAAACATGATGAACAGCCTTGTTCTGGGGATAGTTCATCACGTCAGCACCAGGCAGAGGGATGCAACAGTAATGAAATGCCTAATAACAACATGACTGCAGCCCGGCAGGCTGTCAGCCTGCTGGGTCAGCCCCCCCCCCAGCCTCCAACTGCTGTAGTCTCTGACCCTATAGATCTTCTGCTTCATTGCCATGGAAACACTGAAGCAACAGGCTCCTTACTCAAGCTGACCGAAGCAGACGAGCGTTCCTGCATCCATAAATACGAAAGCGGAGAGCGTGGTGTTATTTTTGGCTTTGTGCTCACAAGGATTACAAACGAGCTTTTGTGTCGGAGAAAAAGAAGCTTCCAAATTTCTAATGACTCCTCAGCCAGGAGCTCAGCCTGTTGGGGCTTCCAGTGCTGTCATGTAGCAGCTATTCTTTG